TTTTCTTGTTAGTGTATCTGTAGAGATACATCAATTTTTTTTTCTAAACACCTTGGGTCATCAAGGTTAAGTGCTATGAATATTATTTTGATATTCGAAAAAATAAAATTTTGCCAAGTTAAGGGTTAATAGATGACTGATCAATAAAGTCATAAATCTTATCCGTACGTTCGCTCACAAACCCCTATATGTTACTTGTATAGTTATTACTATAAATTCATGGTAACATGAAATAGTGTTTGTTTGTGACATTGTTTAAAAATTATAGAACCTTCCCATAATTAGATTGGAGCTTCAAAATTATCATATATATTCAAAATTATGACACACACACAACAACTATAAAACTACATTAATAGTAAATGAACAGAAAAGAGAAGTGGAGTAAGTTTTTCACAACATACAGCGTCAGTGGCGCAGTTTAAAGGCGCTTGACAAGTTCGGAACATAATCTAACCATACGTTCAGGTGCGATCTTCGCCATGTTTTTTTTATTTATTTTTTAAATTCCATATGTACATTTACTAGATTATCTTATATCGAAGAAAAACAACGGCGAAGAAATTCAAAAACATGAGCCAACAGTCTTTACACATATCTTGTTAGTTAACCCGCAGTTGGCCAGAAGTTAAAAATCGCTATAAAATTGCTATAGACTTGGTTTGCAGAATTTATTAAATACAAATATTAAAAGAGCTTGTAAAGCAAATTTAAAAATACTGTGGCGAGGATTACAATATATTTTGTTCATTTCCCTTTATCCTTTTTGTTGTTCTGTTGTATATATTCAGCATAATTAAAGCACGTCAATCAAAAGGAGATTAAAACATCCTATGCACGTAATGGCTTCGAGGATATTCTATTTCCCAATTGATTGTATTTATTGCGAAAAATATGGCTTTAGATACGGAATGTATTTTATAGTTTTTAATTAAATTTTATACTAACTTGCCTTTCGTTTAAAATTGTCGATGGCATTCATTAAGTTTTAACTTAACTTAAAATAACTGTTACTGATAGTATTTATTAATTATTTCTTTTATAAAAAGGCCATGTGATATATTTAATTATGTTTTTTTTACAAAAAGATGAGAACAATTTGTTGAATAATATTTTTAAGCTCTATGATAACTGATGGAGATAAGAGACATCTATTGAATACCGTCAAAGATAAAACATGCAGGTTAACTGTTTTTAACCCTAGTTTCAAGAGCGTGGTGTGATTGAAACTAGGTGGCACTGTTTTATATTACTAATAAATTTAATTCATCTGGTAAAAAATATTATGCTAGAACCATAATAGACAAAAAGATTTTAGTCTTGAGGACACTAGACGTTTAGCAATATTTGCCTTCAACGGGATGCAATTTTTACTAGTATGTTGATATAACAATAAAAGATGTAGTTAAATTAAATGCTGTTATACATCTTTTCAAATGTTTTGTAAGCTCAAATGCATCAGCTAGCTATATTGTGCCCTTCCTTCAAAACTCTTTACGCCCCATTAAGTTTAAAATAATGTTTATATCGAGCTGTACAACATTTCGAGCATCCAAGATATTTGACAACGTCTATACCTACATTTAAAGAAAATGTAAATATAAAAAATAATGTCAGAATTTACAAACAATGCTTGGCATACACAGAAATTAATATTTGACAAAATCTTGATATTCCAAAATTCTCGTTCCCGTGGCCTAGAGTACTTAACAATTAAATTTGGCTTCAAGTAATAAACTTAACAATAAATAACCTTTGTTATTTTACTTTAATAAGACTGCATATTAAGTAATATACATTAATAAAAACAACTTACAGCTTAACAAAATACTTACACTCAACTGTATACTTGTACAAATTTAAAAATGGATTTAAAAAGAAGGTGCTATCCTGAGTATCTCTTTTCATTTCAGATGAAAATCAGAAAAAAGCATAAAACAAACGAAAAACTACAATAATCCCGGACTCTACGAAAAAATTGCCTTTTTACAGCACTAATAAAAACCGCATTATAAAGTTATAATTTATGCTTTCATACGTAGCATAATGGCTTTTAGATGACTATCATAAATTCTACTTGTAATTAAAATAGTGAATTTATTTTCTTTCACTTTATGATACCTTTTTTTCGTTACAGTACAAGAGCATAGAAAATTAAAGTAAGTTATGGATAAAAATAGTGTAAATTTTGGTTCAAAAATGTATGTTGTATAGAACTTTATAGAGGTTGCTCGACCAGACGGAATTACTTACTTTCTTCTTGTGTCCTAAATCTGTCGTCTCGAATGTTATGGTTTATTAAATACTTTTATAATGACTACTACTACATTAAATTTAAAATTGTTAAACAAGTTTTTACGAATAGAAAAGTGAAATTCGCAACTTGTTCAACCCGTTATAGATAGTTCAACACATCTTGGTGCGATGATTTGAAATATTCCAATACACATTCGATCAAGCAATATTTACTGTGATGTCGATTCAGGCCATTTACCACAATAGACTAAATTGTAAACCGATGTTAAAAAAGATAGGGATATATACCATTTGACAGATCTACTATGTGGCTTTACAAGTTACTAAGGGAAGGGATGAATTGATAAACCTTATGCAGACAAACAGCCAATAAAAGTTGAACCAACTACACCTGATTTTTTGTATGTTTGCGTTATTTTGTCAGTCCAGTCCGTTATGCTCAAGCACACGCGCCCACTGACCCCGAGACCGCGAATGCTTATCACTTTCGCCTACTTCGTACGGTCATTGACTTATGATTGATAGTTATGAGTTCTTTTGTTATTTTTAACTTATATGTTTTTAACGTGTTTGTGCCAGATCTTGAAGATAAAAAGACGATAAAAATAACTTATTTCTTTTAAGAATGTAACTGTTAAATAAATGATGTTATTTTAAGACTTTTATTTAAAAAAATATGATTCTTGTACTTAGATAAAAGAAGTACATTAAACAGAAAAAGGATTAATCCGTGTTTGTAACAATCACGATAGTGTTGGGTGCTGTCACGCCAAGCAATGTGCGTTCATACATTAATGCTAATTCAACGTAATACTATGTAATAAGGTGTTATATACTCGTTAAATAAGGCAACAACACAAAGAGCATTAACATTTTGACTGGAAACATTGCGTTGAATTTACAATTTATATTTTGTAATAAGCGTGAGAACATGATAAATGAATAAAAAATAATTTAACGTTAAATATCTAGTTGTTAACAAATAAATTTCCACACAAATATGACAGTTAAATTTTACGGAAGGTTCTTCCTATTTCTCAATATCATCTATACATATAAAAAATTGGAGTGTCTATTTGTAACATCAAAAAAATAAGATTTCGGGTTGCTAATTACGAAAATCGCATTTAATTTTTTTGCCTGTCTGTCTGCCGCCAAACCGCGTTTGTTCCGTGTAATCTCCGAAAAGGCTGGGCCGATTTTGACCGGACTTTGACTGAAGGGTAGCTGACATAGACGGGTATATTATAGGCTATTTTCTTTTATCTTAATATTGCGTGGACGAAGTCGCGGACAACAGCTATTTGTTAACTAAATCTTAACATGTTATTTTGAAGTTATCAAGGTTAACTTTCATAGGTAGCACTGTGTTAACTTCGTGCCAATTCTGAAAGCGTAGACGATATTGTGTATATAGGTGATTTGTTTGAAAGTACCGTACACGTTAGCATAGAGGTGTTTGCCTCAAACCTTACGGTACTCTGAGAGTTATCATGACATACAAATTCCCAACTCTCTAGTTAAAGATAAATTCAGCTTAGTTACTTTAATTTTTTTTTAATTCTACATTTGAAATTCAAGACTGGAACCTAAGAATGACTGGCTGTATTGTTCTTTTGTTTAAAACAAAATTGTCACTTATTACCTATCAAGCATTAAAACACACAAATTTTCTTGACAATATTCGTAACGTATTCGAGTAATATTGTGTCAGATTTGTCGCTGTTATACTCTTGGTGCGCTGCGCACATCTAACACAAATTGCAACGATGACGAATGTTTTCTCGCAAATTTTCATGCTAGACCCCTCAACACAGTTTACCCTTGATCAGTTACGAATTTACTATAATATCACAAAAGTATACTAATTTTAGAAATAGTATTAGAAGAGAGAAAAAAAAACGTTATTAACTTAATTAGAAATACATTTATTTACAGGGGGCTTTGTCGCGAAGCGACGATAACGCCCCATAAATCTTAAACTAACAAAACTTAATTAACAGAGTTTTGTTTGTTTTTTTTACCTTATTTGTAAATGTCATGAAAAGAATATTACGTTTGTTAAAATATACGAAAGTATTAAGATTTTATTTAGTTCGCATTGAGATACGGTTCTTTTAACTGTACTTAATTATTAGATAGTTTTCTAGTCAAGGAAACTACAATTACATTTAATATCCTATACAGTTAAGAGTTAATGTTTCTAACACGAAAAATATTATTCTTGAAACCGTTATAACATCAAATGTAGATTACTAAAACAAATGAAAAATATTTAGTTTATTAAGCCGATTATCTTTACCTTTGCAGCCGAGATCTTCTTTCAATCAAGTTAGTGTTTACTTCTGTGACTAAGTAAACACTTTAATCAATAGCTTCATATAAGTAAACTGCAAACATTCAACAAAGCTTTTTCGCGGTTTTAAATTGTACTTTTCTATACATTTGGACAAGATTTCCTACAATTCACTTTTTCAACATTTACCTACCACGAACTAAGTTACCATTACATCTTTAAATAACTAAAGTATGTTAGAATACTAATTCTAAATCATTCTAAATGATTTATTAATTATGCTTTTCATGTCTAAGCTAAGAAAGCTTCAAGAGGATTAAGAATGCAATTACCTCGACCCAGTAAAGTATAATAAAGTGTGTTCTTATCGGAGACCTCTTTGTGAGGTATTGCGGCGAGATAGCGGTACATAGAAGTGCACGGTCAAGGCTGGTTTAAGCCCGCGGTCAGTTCTCAACGATCATTCGCTCTTGAATCGTCGAGAAAACGCGACGCTAGATAATATTTTTTTCAAAATATCGCATAAATAGAATATTTTAAATTTGGTTATCCTTTTCGGTAAGTGGTGTTCTGTCAGTGCCGTTTAAATAATACATACTCGTATATGTATAAAGAAATCATTTATCAGAAAAATCAGAAATTGTAGTCTAAATAATTATTTTAATTTAAAAAAATATCGTATTTAACGAATTATTATGAAGATTTTAAATTTATAAATTCATATATTACATAAATATAACTGTATTGAAACAAGCTTGAACTTAAAAAAAAAAAGCTTTTCCTTGTTTTACAAAGAGAATTTTCGTAAATCTTAGAGGGCTATCGACAAAATCACTTCAAAAAAGCGCACCGATCTCGGAGAATTACGCACCATCGTATTAAACTGCGTTATCTACAAATTTAAGAATTGTAAATAATTATTGCAATACGTTTAATTTCAGAAATAATGCATAAAACATTGTGGATCACATTTGTGACCATTTATATTTGTTACGTTCAAAGTGCTATTATCGGCAAAGATGAATTTGTCACGATTGAGGACGACCCGTACCAGAATGTCAATGAGATCGCAAACCCAGATATAGAAAGTGCAAGAAACGAAAGAATACTATGGCCTTATGTTGCGGAAAGTTCGACAAACCTTGAAAACGAAAATCAAACTGATGAAATGGATATCAAAGATGTTAAAACAAGAGAAAAGAGGTTTTTACACTGGTCGTATCCACAAAGTCCGATAGTCGATATGATGATGCAAACAATGTCAGTTAATTATTCTCCCAATGTAGCTGGAGATCCTTTCGATTTTCTACGGGATTCTTATCAATTGCCTGAGGGTAAGTTCTTTTACTTTTGTCCATCTTCCAATAGGGATCGCAAAACTTTCAGTATAGATTTATACACAGCAGTTATATATTTACATTATATGATTGATTTTATTACATGTGAGTTGTGGGTTGAAAAGCCATCTTATTAGTGACAGAATAAAAAAAATGTAGCTCGTCATTTCCAAAAAAAATAAAAGCTATGGTTACGTTTTTATATGTCTATTAATTTGAAGTGTCTCCATTGACGAACTTAAAACACAAAGAAAATATGCATTCAGTAATTATAGTGGATCTTCCATCGTAAGGAGGTCATATCTTGAATTATTCACCTGTCTGATAAGCAAATGTTCTCACAAAACACGAAAACAATATGATATAATGTAATCTGATTCAATTTACCTTCAAACAGTTTTTTAACAATGGTTTATACTATTCGAGTATAATCAGGGCCAAAACACAGAAATTAATTGTTGATTGTTTCCCGCTCGCAAGTAACGTTACCTTAATGATGACCGGATATGAATAGAAGGGATTTATTGTAAACGTTAAATTACTGTCCTTATTTACTCTTAATCTAACTTCGCGTAGTAAATCAAGATAGGTAACTGATTGTTTTTGTTTATTGTCGTCATAAAGAGGATTTTACTGACAAAGAGTTGTAATTTATGTAAAGTTTAAAATGGATTAAAGGTTTTAATATTACAAAACACGTCAAAATATTTCACTTAATTACTGAGGTAGATTATTTCGCTTATTGCTTACTCACTGTTTTTTTCCAGTTATCTTAACACCTGCCTTGCCGTATGTAGGTGAAACATAGTAATAATAAAAACTTAGCATAACACAGGCATTACATGACTCAAAAAAATATGTAATGTATTTGTTCGCTTCTTAATCTTCTTCTTCTTCTTCGTTTCTTCATTGCTGAAGGTCGTGCTTGCCCTGATAAGCCTTTACCGAGTCATCAATGAGCTGCCTCCATGCCTCCCTGTCTTCGGCTTGTCTCAGGGCAGTTGGGATGTTGAGTCCCAGTATAGACTGAACCTGATCGGCCCATCGGGTAGGTGAACGGCCTCGTGACCTTTTGCCCTCGATCTTTCCAACCACTACTAGTTTATCGAGATTGTCAGGTTGTCTACGGGCAACGTCTGTCGCTTCTTAATAAATCAACTAAATTTCGTGTAAATTTCATAATAAATTATCTTTGTTAGATATTTTAGTCTGAGTACAAGTCAAAAGTGGAGTAAACCTAATTTTGTTCTCTGAGTCAAACGTACGAGCCTTAAAACTTTTACTCCCTCTCTGTACATCGTTTCTATTCCTGACCACTTGAACGTCTCTTGTAGATTTTCCCTTATACCTCTTTACTTTACACATTTTAAAAACATAGAACGTATGTTGTTATGGCTTGCATAAGTGCATATTTATAATGTGTGAATAATCAGTCATATAGCAGTAATTTACATAAGCATCCTGTCTGTTTACAGTCTCTTTAATTTTCACATACATACGCAAAAACAAACAAAGCGATTACAATACTAGATGAATAACGTAAAACGTAATAGTGTGTATAAAAATGCCTATTATTAAGGGATAAATAATTACAATGTATAGGTTACACCAATGTCAAACAAATTTATTTTTGTATTCAATCTGGTATGGTAATTTATTAATTAAAAATGAAGCTTTTGGCATTCAACATTTAATTACCTGTTTTTCATATACGAATTCCGCATAAATAGACAAAGAACATTGTCACCCTAAGACAACGTTATAAGACAAATGAATCTGCATGCTTGTAAAAATTTGCTTTAAAACAGACAAATAACGTCGTTGGTATACTTCCAATATTATCACTCACATCTCCTATCAAGAGGATCGAACTTACCCAAGTTAGAGTGACTAGGCCACAATCGACCTCGTTGGCTAAGTGCGGAGTACCTCGAAAATTGGAGAGCAGTGAAAATTCAAATAACTTTAATAAGCCCTTAATATTTTAGATAAAATGCTGGAAGAGTATGACTACATAATCGTCGGTGCTGGCACTTCTGGGTCAGTTCTTGCAGCGCGGCTTACTGAAGGCAAACCAAAGGCAACTGTTCTGTTGCTTGAAGCTGGCAAACCAGAGATGCTGCTATCAGACATACCAGCGCTTGCGCCGTATATCAAATTAACACATTACGTCTGGCCGTATACTATGGAACATCAACCAGGAGTTTGCTTGGGTAAGTTATAAAGCTATCTATTTAGATTTTTCAACACCACTCGCCAACTTGTTGGCCAATGTGTGTGAATTGGACTAATGGCCAAATAGTTGGTACGATAACTATTCAGAACAATTGATAAATGATAAATTTTTCGCATTTTAATAGGGATGAAAGCGTTAAAAACGCTTAAAATTTGACAAAAAAAAACATTAAGCGGTTACCAGGGACTAGCTGTGGTACACTTATGAAGTCAAATAACTATCGTATATTGTACAAATGTGAATGTTTACGTAAACATAAGTGTTTAATGTGAATCAATGATATTTATTTAGAAAAAATGTTTTCTATAGTAAGCAAGAAAAGGATGTTAAGTAAACGAAAAATAAGCCAAATTGGTCCCAGTTTGTTTTCCCGGTTAAAGCTAGTTAACAAGGTTAACCTATTATCGTATTTGTACCGTTTAAGGAAAACAGCGAACAAAAGATAATAAGCACTGAACTGATACAAACTTTGGATAGCTCGTTACCACTAAGAATACTGTCAAGTACTAAATTTGTTTAAGAAACAGTATTTTAAATTCCATCTTTAGAAAAACCATTCATTCTTGCTGGATATAAAATTAAGTTTGATTTGAAATGTACACGAATAAAAAAAAACTAAAAAATTAGACAATCTGTAAATAATAAATCAGTGAAAACACAAAACAGCTATTAACTCATTATCATACACCACTGCATAAAAAGTAATAATTGTCTATTCTTTAAGAATTTCCCGTAAAGAAAACCTGTAATATTTCTTTACTTAAAATTGAATGTAGAATATATACGAGTATGTACGTATTCCGATGTAAGATGGGCGAGGTAACATTTTTATAAAAATATCAACTTCATTTTCTGTTTATAAATAGACTGGGATTGCAATTTAAAAGTAGAAAGAAACCTGTTCGGAAACGGGGACCTCAAAATTGTAAACAACTTATACTATGCAGTTCTGTCGGAACCCATGCATTATTATGGAGATTTAATTGCTATGAATACCATCCAAGGACATCATTATAGGCTATGGAATGCAATAATAACTGTCACTGACACACAATGTCTCTTGTGCGTAGTCCAACATGTATTTTATTAACGTTCAAGAATAAAATAAGAAATAAAGAGACTACAAAACATATCGCATAATGCGTAAACAAAACAATAAAATACAGACTGTTTTGATAGTCTTTTTACTTTTATTATAAATGCAAAATTTTGGATGGATGAATGGATATTAGAGTTTGTAGACTAAACAGCTGAACGGATATTGATGTAATTTGGCATAGATGTAGAGGATAGTCTGGAAGAACACATAGGTTATCTACTTTTGTTTTATTTTTAATTCCACGCGGACAGAGTCGCAGGCGAAAGCTAGCCAAGTTTATATATCCGTTAGTTATTTCGGACGTTCGATCTTGTTTACTTTTGTTCACTTCCTTAGGTTCAAGGCATTCTAATACCTTATTCCTATGTTTATAGGTAGTGAGGAGCAGCGTTGTTACTCACCGGAAGGCAAAGCGGTAGGGGGCAGCAGTGTCGTTAATGATATGATTTACTCCCGCGGCCGCCCTCAGGACTGGGACAGGATCGCCGCTGACGGTAACTATGGATGGTGCGTTTGAAATTATTTTATCTCATGAACCACTTTGCATATTATTATACAGCCCCGCTTACCTCAGTACTAAAGGCTCTTTAATAGCACATTTGGGAGCGAGCCTAAACTGTATCTTATTAAGTCAAGACGTGCTTCCAACAAAAGTTAAATTGGGATTTGCTAGTATTAGCTTAACTGTTGATACAAACATAGAAATCTTACGGAAAAACAAAATACAATCATGACTAAATCCAGCGTAATAAGGTTAAAACTTAAACATTTATTAAGAAACATTGATAATCTTACTTCTTACTAATCTAACTAATATTATAAATGAAATTTGGCATAGACGTAGATGATAGTCTGGAAGAAAACATAGGCTACTCACTTTTGTTTTTTTTAATGCCACCTGAACGCAGTCGCGTACAAAAGCTAGTTGTTACTAATCGAACTGTTTAAGTATATTTAGTAGATCAAAAAGCAAACTCTACTATTCAATAAATTGTTCGTATTCAAAAGATGGAGATCAAACTATCTCGGATCTTGAATTCTAAAGGCTCTGATCGCTGCTCCCGGTATTATGAGATAATGGACCGGGCACGCCCGATGAGTTTTGATTCACAGAAATCGTGCCATCTCGTAATTATATTTCATGATATTTTACGTTTATACTAATTTCGAGAATTCATTAATTATATTAATAAGATAATAATTGTTAAACTTGGCATCAATACGGCTTGACTGGCCTATTTCTATTAAGTACCTTTTTAACACGGACGAGTTACAACTAGTTACTCTAAAATAACTACTAATATACATAGACTTTCCTACTTTCGCCTAAAAATGGGACACTGTTATTCTTTTGTTTTGATACACTTTTGTTTATTTTAAATTAAACATTCTTCGTTATAGCAATTTGAAATTATAAGCGGCCAGTTAAAATCATATTTCAAATCTAAATTAATTTAAATGTTGCCATCTATACTAATGTTATAAAGAGGAAATCATAAATAAGTTTGCTTAAAATGTATTTACACTGTTCACTTCAAATGGAGTAAGACTTGATAAGATCTTTTTTTAATTTTAAACAGTAACATTCGTTTTACTGTTTCCGAAAGCACTTCTTGAATGAAAAAAAAAATGTTTAAAAAGATTGACTATTATAAGACGCGTGTTTGTGTGTTATTTTTAAAATTATGTTTCCATGAAATCGTGTAAGGTTGATTAGATCTTACAAAGGCTTACATAAAATATAGACACGCGACTACAAGCCTTTAATTGAAATAGCTTCTACTGTGGAATTTTATAAATCATATATTTTACGAGAAATATGTTTACATGGTATTATAATATACACTATTGCTGCTTTCGTAATAATTTTTCGTTTTTATTAACTTATTAAATATGTTATTTGATTTTTTATTAATTATTGTAGTACATTTTATAGTTTCATTGTTAACCGTTAGAAGTCGAATTTAGATACAAATTTAAAATAATGTTAAGAAAAAATTTAAAACTCTTTAAATACTTAAGTATTAATCTTAATTAATTTGATACTCGCAGTGCGTAACTTTGAATTTCAAATCTGTGGAATCAACATTCCGAAAAGCCACACGTGGTAGTTAAACTTAAACACCTACTTATTAAAAGCTTAATTACAAAAATTAGAGCTTTTAAAGTAGTATTCAGTTTTACTGTAATTAAACTTTTCTTATGAAATAATTTCAGGTCTTACGACGAAATTCTGCCGTATTATAAGAAATCGCAGCGATGCGAATTGAGGAAATATAAAAACGCTACGTACAGTGGACGTGATGGTGAGCTAACGGTCGAGAATGTCCCGTTCAGGTGAGTGAATAGACTCAATCACTGGAATTATCCGCGAATCAAGTCGAATTTTGATAAGGCATAAATGGGTTATTTGTGGTCAGAATCATTATGAGCCTACAAATATTTTTTTGCTAAAATTACTGATGTTATAAATTGATATTATAGTACTTATCGCATTTTTGCTAAACGATAGCAAATTATTTGGAAAATACAATGTTAATAAGCACCACTACTTAAAAAAACGGAAACCGCTCCTTTTAACATAATTTAACGATTTTTCAGAACTGGTCTAGTTGAAGCTTTTCTAGCATCGGGAAGATTGCACGGCAACCCGACAATCGATTACAACGCACCGGATCAGCTCGGCTTCGGATATGTTCAGACAACACAAAATAGAGGACATAGATTGAGCGCAGCTAAAGCTTTCTTACATCCACATAAAAGAAGGAAGAATTTGCACATACTTACTGATGCTAAAGTAACTAAAGTTGTTATTGAACCTCAAACTAAAAGAGCCTATGCTGTTGAGTACCTCAAAAATCACATTAAACACACAGTGCGTTGTCGTAGAGAGGTCATTCTAGCTGCTGGTGCAGTAGGTTCACCACAATTGCTTATGTTGTCAGGCGTCGGGCCAAAAGAAAAATTAGAAGTACTAGGAATCCCAGTAATCAGTGATTTAAGAGTTGGAAAGAGTCTATATGATCACATAGCATTTCCGGGAATCGTTTTTAAACTAAATTCAAACAATGCTAGTTTACAAGAATTAAAAGTTGCTACACTCCCTAATCTAATGCAATGGCTACAATTCGGAGATGGATTGATGACGACACCCGGTTTAGTGGAGGCTGTAGGTTTTATAAAAACGTCG